AAGTTGAGAGCAGCTGTGAAGAATGAACCGGATTGCTTCTGGGTTACCAAGTACGTAAAGGGTCACACTTGTTCAATTATGGACCGTGTAGCTCACCGTAGACGAGCTACTCCAAGATATATTGGACAATTGTTTGTGGAGCGGACTGGACTCATAGATGGAATTGTCCCTCGACAAATTGCAGATTCGATGAGGATCATGTTTGGCCTGAATCTTACCTATACAACGTCATACCGGGCTCTCAAATTCGCTCAAGTATTTGTCAGGGGAACTCCAGAAGATGGATATGCTAACCTTCCTTCCTACCTTAGAAGACTGAAGCAAGCAAACCCTGGCACTATAACACACCTGCTCTGTGATGAAGAAGATCGCTTCAAGTACTGTTTTGTGGCGTTAGCGGCTTCAACAGCGGGATTTCAGTACTTGAAGAGGGTTATTGTGGTTGATGGAACACACCTTACTGGGAAATAGCGGAGGCACATTACTCGTGGCATGTGGACAAGATGCAAACTTTCAAGTATTTCCTCTAGCATATGGTGTTGTTGATGCGAGACTAATGAGTCTTGGGGATGGTTTTTTGATAAATTACAGTCTTGTTTCTCACCACATCCGATGGTCATTGTTTCAGACAGAGCATTGTCCATTGAAAATGCTTGTGTGAATGTGCTTCCATGGGTCACTAGAGGAATATGCTACTATCATCTTCAGCAAAATATTATCAAGACATATGGTGGTAAGGAGCTTATGTATCTGGTTAAAGGAGCTGCTTATGCCCACACTCTAGCTGAATATAATCGGTGCATGGACTCACTAAGAGCTGCGCACCCAGAACTCGCAGCATACATGGAGTTGGCCGACCCTAAGCTTTGGTCTAGAGTACATTTTCCCGGTGATAGGTACAACATCAAGACGAGCAACATTGCTGAATCTATCAACTCGGCTATTAAAAAGGCAAAGGGTTTTCCCATACCCTCTCTACTCCAGTTTATTAGAGAGATGTTAGGGCGGTGGTTCTACAAAAGGCGTGAAGATGCTTTAAGTCTGCAGACACCATACAGCAAGGGAGTTGAGTATATACTGGCCATCCGTGAACATTACGCTCAGTCAATGGATGTTCAGCGGATAGATGCAACTAGTTTCCATGTTGCTTCTGGACGTTCGCACTATGTAGTTGATCTAGAACAGGGTAAATGTGAGTGTGGAGTGTTCCAAGTCGAGAAAATGCCCTGTACACATGTCCTTGCAGCGCTTGCCTCAGCTGGTGTGCACGTCTCACACCATACATGTGACACATACTCGCAGGAATGCTTGTATGCGACCTACGCCCATCCTATATATCCTGAGGAGGAAATTGACAACCACAAGAAGAAGAGCGAGCGGTGCCGACCTCCAAAACCGAAGGATGGGCCTGGTCGTAAGAAGAAATCAAGATGGCAGTCGTGGCTGGAAATTTCTAGGAAGTCTAGGAAGAAAGGCAAGAGTCGAAGGAAGAAGCCCAAAGTTTACAGCTGCTCCAAATGCAAGCAACCAGGACATACGCGCCCGTATTGTGTAAGCTTCGTGCGTCCCGCAGTTCCATTAGTTTTCATTACACAACCTCTGTAATTTGTTTGCTCTTCACTAGGTGTCCAAGCCTGCTGAGAAATAAACTCGGCGGTCTACGAGCGGTCTTCGGAGGTCTACGAGGCTTCACGGAACTTCTCTGGAGGTCTACGAGGCTTTAACGGAACTTCACTGGAGGTTTACGAGCCTCTACGACGTTATCTCGCGATCTACTTATACATTCGTGGAGGTCTACGAGATGTTCTCTGGCGGTCTAATATTGCTTTCGTACTATTTGATCATTATTATTGTTTAATACTAAGTGATGATTTCCTTGTTCTCGGGCTCCTAATACTAAAGACGGATTTCATTTCATTGCTTAATGCGAGTCCGAATAGATACATCCGAAATAGTTACAAAATAGTTATACAAAAGGTGAGATCAATGTTGTCAAGAGGGGCCAAAAAAAATATAAACCCTCCCTTTCACCGTTAGTAGAGGGGCACAATAAAATTAACCCACCCTGAAGCCGTTACTAAAGTTAGATCAGCATCTCCCGTCGAAAGGATCAAGACCGTCCCAGTCACGGATCCTCGGTCCCTTGCAATCGGTCTCCTTGAAAATGTCACAAGCATACCTACTCCGAATTGCCTTGATGTTCTTGTTGCACAGTGAAGAGGCTGAAAAAGCGTTTCCAGTTGCGTGACACTCGATGTATTTCAGACAGTAGACACCGCAATCCCCGGGACCCTTTTGCTCCGGCACACCAGCAATACGTTCGTGAGTAAATTTATCGAACGGATAGTTGTCACGTTCTTCCACCAGTGCCATCTCGCGTAACATGTACGCCATCATCACAGCCACGGGTTCCACCTCCGTCGCAGTTCTTCATCGTCCATACGGCAGGGATAACTATCCCAGATCGTGATGTGCCTCTTCGGTAAGGAGATGAATAGAGCAACCCAGTGGTTCTTCCCAATGTTAAACGGGAGATATAGGTCGTCAATGTCCCTGCACCATCGTTTATTCGTCTGGCAGAATTCTGGTTTCGTGCCTTGGAAGTAGTCAAGTGAGTCAGGTGGGAGGTACTTCCCAAGTCCAAAGACATTAGGCTCAGACTTCTTGAAATCGTCATACTTTGCCGTCCAAAACAGACTAAGACCACTATCGATGAGACAAGCCTGTCACTTCTAAAGCTGTGCGGTTGTTCTTTCATTCTGAGCCGCAGCAGATTGATGACCGCGTCCATGTGCTGATGAAAAGAAAAAGATTGAATATTGCATTACAATTACACTAAACCTCAATATGCGGTCTACAAAAGAGAATTATGACAGAGGTCTACTCATGCGAGGTCTAAACATAGACCTCTCTAAATGGTGTACTAATGCTTACCGAGTCCGATAGCCATTGCGGCTGCGTAATGAGTTCCCACCACCAATACCACACGGGAAACTTATCCTTGTCAAGCTTTGGATACCCACTAAAGCAAAAGTGTGTAATTAGTATACTAATCACAATAATCGGAATTATAAAGATATTTCCGAGGGTTACTTACGCTGTAGACTTCAGGAACGCCGTTAGTTCCTTCCGAACATTCTTGTCTTCGGGCAGATACGGATTGTAGACCTCTAAGCGCTGCTTCTTGTTACGTATGAGCTCCTTAACCGTAACGTTTCCCACGAACGGAGACTTTTGAGATGGGGCCAGTTTCCTTTCCCTCTGATCCTTAGCCCTTAAACGCGTTGAACTTTCTGATTCTTCCTGATGTCTGCTAGGCATTCTTCTTTGCTTGGCACATAGGTCTTAACATATGCAATGCTGCTGTCGTCACGGTTAGCACTGTTTGATGGACCGGCGTTTTGGTTCTGCATTTGAGGACAATTTGAGTTTGAAAAACAATTCAGACCACAACAAATAGGCACAAACACTCTCGGAACATTTATTGTAAGTCAAGTAAACAGGTTCATTAAAATTACACACATGATTTGCAAGGAAAGAAAAACGTGACAAGTTTGTGTTTATAGGAAAAAAACAACGGATTGGGCTCTACTTGGTCTTCAATTTTCTAGGTCGAAGGACCCTATCCTGGACAGGCTTAACTTGCACTTTACGCTTATCTTGCACTTTAGAAGAGTTGGAGATTTGGGAGAGGGATCAGTACTAACCGGTTGAGCAGTTTTAGCTTCTTTGGCGCCGGTCACATCTTCTTTGGCGCCGGTCTCATCTTCTTCGCCGGTTTCATCTTTTTTGGGAGAGGGATCGTCGGATCTACGCTGCTCCTGAAGCCTTACATCCATCAGCTGCTTCACACTACGCTCCATACCAGCAACTGTCGAGGTAAGTGCAGCTAGTTGCCGGTCATACTTCTGGAACCCTGCCTTCAGATCAGCAGACAAGGTCCGGGTGCAGTCAGAAATCAACCTCTGCAACGTCTCCTCGATATCATCATAGTTCGATGGAGGAGTAGGACGAGGTCTCTTCTTCGAATCTGTGAAACTAGCCTCCACTTTTATTGGAGGCTTCACGTCCACTCGCGGGTGATTGGAGACCAAGACACCTTCCTCGTCCCAGTCGCTTGGCTTCCACCTCCACCGACCACCTAACTCCCCGTAGATTGCCTTGATGATGTTGTCGACGTACAAATCTTCTACATCATCATCCCAGCGTGGATAAACTTCTTCCCTATCGACAGCTCACAGTTTTTAAAAACGACCTGCAAAAACAAAACAAAATGAGTCCAGGTCTATCTACTAACTACTTGCCAGCAAGTTACTCGATTCTCAGATTTATGTTTACCTGCTTCAGCATTGCCTCCGCGATGTACCTTTTGCCTTGAATACCCTTGTACGCAAGGAGCGGTGGTGATGGTTTAGATGGCAGAGGAGCACCGTATTTCTCTGCAAAATTCGGCATGCTCTCAAAAGCCCAAATTTGGAGAACCTCGATGAAACCCTCCAGCACATAACCCGACTTCTCCAAATCCACTCCTTTAATGGACTTGATGAGCTGCAAGAAACAAACTCGGCCCCACGGGTATTCCTCAAACTTCTCCAAATCCAACACAAGCCTAGCTAGCTTGACAGGTGTCTCGGCAGCGGATCTACGGGCTTGAATGAAGCCTGCGTATATGGCTAGGTAGCCCAATCTAAGCTTATCCTCCCTTGGCCACTCGCCTGCCCACTCACAAGCTTCAGCCAGCTGGTCAATGCTAGGCCCTACCTCGACGTTGACACCCAACCTCTCCCAGAACTCGCACACGGCATCCGTTGCTGGAGCATCAGGTGTCTCTAGGTTCTCAACATACTCGCAGTTGAGGCCGGTGATGGCTGAGAACTCGTGCAATGAAAATCTTATCGGATTTGCCCCCACAGCGCTCCATATCTCATACTTCTTCTTGCATACAACCTGGAAACAGAGCATGGCATGCGCAATCCGTGAAGCCCACTCGAATTGAAGGTCACGGAACTTTAGGAAGATACCAATCCTGGAGTCACTGATTTCATTCCATTCGTCGTCGGTGAGGAGCTTTCGGAGACTATCAAAGAGCTTGGTGTTCTTGCTACACCTGGAAATGCTTTTCCCTGCGTCCGGATCGCCTCCTTTGGTGTAGAATCTCCTGGGAATGTCGGCTTTGACATCCTACAAAAAGAGTATAAGCTATTATTAAGTCCAACCAAGTGGGAGGGCTATGTCTGACGGCTATGGAGTAGGGTTTAAGGATTAGGGATTAAACCACCACATGCAAACGCCAAAGAACTCTCAGTGGGAGATAAACTTAAAGTAGTTAGAATTTCACTAGAATGAAGAACTTACCGGCGGCAGCGGGTTGTGTAAGCGGCGGAGACAGCGGGTTGTGTAATCGGCGGAGACAGCGGGTTGTGTAATCGGCGGAGACAGCGGTTGTGTATTCGGCGGAGACAACGAAATCGCCTCTAGCGGAGAGCGAAAGGTCAGACACAGATTAGGGTTACGAATGAGGCTTACCACAGCGGTTTTCCGTATATATATGTCGGTTAAATGGTTTAACTTGGTTTTCTTCGGTTCGAATTAACTGAATCGGTTTAACTATACTCGACTAATTTTTCCATTCGATTTGGGTTTATCTTATCTGATTTCTTAGTGTTTACGGTTAAATTACGGTTTCCTCTTTTCATATAACTTTATTCCCAACTTTATAGTCTACGTTAGTGTCTTGACGGTCAACAATCTCAGATCTAAGTTAGAGGTCTCAATCCCAGTGTGTAGGTTTTGAGGTCTACGTCTGAGGTCTATTTGGAGGTCTACGTAGAGGTCTCTGATTAGGAATACGATGATTTGCAATACGCACAACCAAATTAAGTGTTTAGAACACAATCATAGCTACATTCATCAACCAAACACAAAGTAGCTAATGAGACAGACAAGCACGGCAATTACAGTAACCGCCGTCGTCACCTCGACTCTTCTTAAACGCTTCATCTTCAGAACTTGGTTCTTCACATCAGTTAACTCTGCCTCAGTCCGAAGCAAGGTTTCGCGTTCTTCAGATTCAGGTTGGCGAAAGCCAAAACGAGGGTTGTCGACGGCCCATTTGAGTTGTAGAAACTCCTCCATCATAGCCTCGTCCCACCATTTCATAAGATGTGGGAAACCAAGCTACAATGATGAAAAAACGAATCTCTTCAATATTTTTGGTAAAACAAAGCCACTTAAGATGTCGAAAACTATTTACAGTTAACATTACCTTATAATTCTTGCATCCAAAAAACATCCGCCCTGGATGCTCGTCCGTATGGTCCATCATTTTCAGCGGAGTTAACAAACCGCAGTAGCATCTGCTCGGTATTCCATAGCTTATATCTCGACTGGTATGAGAACTCACATCTTCTTCGTCCTTACTGACTACCCTAGCAGAGCTTCGAGTAGCCAGCTGGTCAGAGCTACTCGAACCCTCCGTTAACCAGCTAAAGCGCCCCATTCCTGTGTACGATGAGAAGATATCAGTTATTTTAAAAAACAGTAATTATTCAATGACCAGATCTCACCCACAAAATGAAATAGAAGCAAACCTAACCAATACGATCGCCGGAACACTTGATACTGTCGACAGCGGCAAAGAAGACGGATGAGAACAGCGGCCGGAGGATGAGCGGCGGAAGGATGAGCGGCGGACCAAATAATTTATTTCTAGAAAATTAAAATTAGGGTTTACATCTCTATTTATACACCCGAGGGAGCTGCGGTCTAGTACTGCGGTCTAAGATAATTTGAAATTTTGGTTCGCGCTCATAATTCCCGCTCGGTTCCTTTTAAAATTTTGAAATTCCCGCATTTGTTTGTTTTCGCGGTCTACAACTGAGGTCTACATAACCCTAAACCACAAATTTTATAAAAAACATGAACCAAATATCAAATTTTGTTTGCCATTTACAATATTTATGGTTTGGATAACAAAACAATTAAATATAGAAAAAAAACCAACCAAAAACAAAAATACAAATTGAAACTATCTAAACCCTAAGAATTGGACAACTAAACCCTAAACTATCTATCCAAACTCTTATCAATTTGAAACATTTACTCATGACATTTATAGACTGATTCATTTTTCGTATAATTTATTTTCAATAGATGTCAAATGTATAAGAATTAATTATGCATACAAGTTTTTTATCAAATTATTTTTTATCAATTTTAAAAATTATTTTTAAGATTTCATTTTCCTGTAGACCTCGTTGCTAGACCTCTCACGGTTTTACAAGTTTCTAACCTAATTTGTTTTTGTCAACCTAAATTCACTTATTAACATGTATGTTTATTTTATATGGACTCTAATTGTCTTTGTCTTGTTTATGAATACAAATTTTTCATCTAAATATTTTCTATTTATTTTATAAATTAAAAGTTTCATTTAATTAAACCGTAGACCTCATCCGTAGACCTCTTACGTTTTTACAGCTTTCCAAACTAATTTGCCTATGTTAGTTTAATTTGACTCATTTGTATGCAATTATAATTTTCCAAGATGCAAATTACTATTTATGATTTATGTATGCAAATGGTTTCATCAAAATGTTTTTTTTGTTTTTCCCAATTAAAATATAAAATTAAAATACAAGGTAGACCGACTATAAAAGTCTATATGTGTAGACAGCAAGCGTAGACCTACGCTCCGGGTTAATTTGGTAATCGCGGCAAATTTTTTTTGTTTGTTCATGAGGGTGACCTTTGTAATTTCGCTACCCAAACAGGTTAGTTTTGCAATACTTTCAAGTTTCGGGTTATGGTTATAGAAAAAAACAAATTTCGGGTTATATGTGGAAATTCTCTCTTAAATTAACTATTAATTAACTAAATTCGAAAATAAATCAAACAATTTGAATTAAAACATTTTAATTCAATTACACTAATTAACCAGAATCAAATCAATTTAAACCAAGATAAACCAATTAAATCAATTAATTCTAAACCAGATTAAACCACACAAACACACAATTCATCACAGAAATAACCAAAATACCATGAAATAACAATTAAACACATAAACTCATCAAGAACAACCACAAACCAAATCTAATCTAGCAAATCGCGGACCCACAGTCATGCACTCACCTTGACAATGGATTGAAACTGAAGGAAAAAGAAAAGACGATGAACAGTGCCGAATCGCGGACGAACAGTGCCGATGAACAGTATCCAATGAACAGTCCCCGATTAACAGTACCCGATGAACAGTACCCGATGAACAGTAAAATTGGATTTTTCAGGAACTCTCAAAATCCCTTTCTCCTTCTCTGCCTCGAAAAACGTGATAAAGACGGCTGCTTCTCCTTTAAACTTGATAGGGTTTCCACTAAACCGGGCCCAAACCGGGCCCAATTTTCACTTAAATTGAACCGAAAATCAATTTTCAATTTTTGGTTTATGGATGTTACAACTCTCCCCCACTAAACTGGATTCGACCTCGAATCCCAACAAACGTCAAAGACCAAAAACCCGACCTCGCAAGGCCGCAACACTGGAGATCCTCATTGATCCCCGAGACATGTCAAATCCTATGTCATAAGCACGTTCCAGAAAATTTTCACTCCTAACTCATCATCCAAACACACCAAACAACTTGTACTGAGGCCCACTTGCACCCAGACAAGTCCACACCGGTCCGCACTGAGGCCCACTTGCACCCAGACGAACCCGAAACCGTCCATACTGAGGCCCACTTGCACCCAGATGAACTAAACTGCTTATACTGAGGCCTACTTGCACCCAGATAAGCTACACTCAACTGAGGCCTACTTGCACCCAGAGAGTCTGCCAGAGAACGAAGTCTCCAAAAATCATGATGAGTTATTCAGGATCGCAATCCTTAGAGTAAAAATTCCGGAAAAATGTCTATAACCATAAGATTAGACCGTCTCACAACCAAAAACTGGTCAAACATGTGTAACATCCGAATACCATTTCACAACACAAGGCAAAATGAGGAAAAACTGCATCTCATTAAAACTCCAAAAATGTATATCGTTACAACGAAAACGAAAATACAATAACACCAAAGCCAAAAATAACAACTGAGGCTACAAAGATGAAATAAGCTCACTCCTCGACCTGCTTGTCGAACCACTTCCTGAACTTCAACTTCATCTTTGCCTCTGGCTCCCAAGTCTCCTCTGTAGAACCACTGCAATCCCACAAAATCCTCAGTAAGGGAATCCTCTTGTTCCTCAGAACCTTTTCCCTCCTCTCTAAAATCCTCACAGGCACTGCCGGCACTGTCAAATCTGGCTGAAGATCCTCTGGAATCCTAGCCACTAACTCCTCTGTAGGGTGAAGACACTTCCTCAGCATCGACACATGAAAAACCTTGTGAAAGGCTTTCATAATCTCAGGCAACTCCAGCCTGTAAGCCAATGGCCCAACTCGCTCCACTACTGGAAACGGACCCATAAACGCGGACTCAGCTTGTTCTCTGCTATGGATCTGTTAGGACCCCTCAACATAGCCATCTTGAGATAAACTCTATCTCCACCTGAAACTCAAGCTCTCGTCTGCGTCTATCTGCATAACTCTTCTGCCTGTCCTGAGCCTCCTTCATGTTCAGCCTCACCACACGGACCTTCTCTGTCGTCTCCTGAACATAAGTAGCTCCATACATGCTGCGCTCCCCCACTTGGGTCCAGCATAGGGGTGTCCTACATGGCCTCCCATACAAAGCCTCAAATGGAGCCATGCCAATACTCGCCTGAAAGCTGTTGTTGTATGCAAACTCAACTAAGCTCAGGTGATCTGCCCAATGGCCACCCCAATCCAACACACACATCCTCAGCAAATCCTCCAAGTCTGAATAGTCCTCTCTGACTGACCATCTGTCTGCGGATGATAAGCTGTACTCAAATGCACCTTAGTGCCCATCTCTGCCTGAAAAGCTCTCCAAAACTCTGAAGTGAATCTGGGATCACGGTGATGTACTTGCATTTTACATAGTTTTAGCACATCTTTTATGCATCTTTTGCATAGTTTTAGCTTCCATTTGCATCATATCTTGTTCCTTTTCTCTTCTTATGCATTCATGTTAGTTTTAGGTTGCATTTGCATACATATGCATGTTTGGTCCTTTGAAATAGGTCTTTTGGAGCATTCTGGAGCATATGGGACACAAGGAGCATGGAGGGACTTGGCACATGGAAGCAGCTCAACTGGATACGCAAAGGAAGAAGGGAGAAGCCATCTTGAAGACCAGCTCGACCAACCGGTCGAGTTCCTCAACTCGACCGGCCAAGCTTCAACTCGATCGAGCTGAGAAGTCAAAGTCAAACCCGAAAAATGTTGCTTCCCCCTTGACTTTCCTTTGACCCTAAACCTAATCCTCTTTGTATTTAAAGGCTCTAAGCCACGAAAAAACCACCAAGCTTTAGATTATTTTGTTTTAGTTTCTTTTAATTTATTGTCTTTTACTTTTTAGAGATCTAATCCCATCTTTGTGTTCTTGAAGCTCTTGCTTCTTGAATCCTAGATCCTGGATAATCTCTTTGTATTTGCACTTGCTTATTTCAATAAAAGTTGTTTAATTTCATCTCCTCTTTCTTATGATGTCTCTTTTATTGCATTTGCTTGTGTTTACATTCATGTGTAGTGAGTAGTTACCCATTAGGGTTTGAGATGGGATAGATTAGAGGTTTCATATGCTTAATCCTTCTAGCTTATGGTCTTAATCTAGATTCTCTCTCTTTTGGATAGATCTTAAGGCTACATGACCACTACCCCTGGCTTGTAAGTCCTTAGGCGACTCCCCACACGAAAGTGATGGCATTCGCTGGAAAAGATCCACTAAGAGCTCCAATATCTCTTGCTCTAGACAATAGAGGTCTAAGGGGTTGGATGGATTAGTTTGGGCAATGATCCTATAGCCTCCAAGGTTTGATTCTCACTGGCTAACCCCCTGTTTCTGAGATCATTCCTTGGTTGATAGCCTCCACCTTGGGAAAGGGTTGGCTAGGCATTGAGAAGCCCAATATCAAGAGAAGCCTTGATACAAGGAGTTTTAAGAGCTAGATTGATTAAGTGTAGATTCCTTTGATTGCAAAACCCTGTCTTGAACCCTAATTCTCTCTTTATCTTGTTAAAGTCGTCACCTTTAGCTTTGTTTGTCTCAACTCGTCCCTAAACTCGATCGAGCTGGTACTTTGCTCTACTCGACTCGAGTCTTGGTCGAGCTGACACTTCACTGCTTTGTTTACTTTTATTGCACTGCTTTTCATTTTTTTAGGTTGTTAGTGTTACTTCAAATCTATAACTGCTTGCTTGACTTTCTGGTTGTTTCATATTCTCATAGAGTGACAAGTTTCCCATTTTGGATTGATAACCTCTTATACTAATGACTATGATGGTTAAGAGGAATTGATTGATTGTGATTGCACCATCATCTTTATTACCCTGTTTGCATTCCACCTCATTTCATATCACATCCACACACAAATCCTATCATCAATTTGGCGCCGTTGCCGAAACAGGTACCAAAATCTGATGTCTCAACTCCACATCCTTAGGCACACAAACTCGCCCACGAACCAAGATAGTCCCATTCGCAGAGACCTCATACTCAGAACCAGTCACTCTCAGTCGCAACTCAGCAAACTCTGATCACTCTGCTGAGCAACTCTGATCCTGCTAAGTAGATCCGCCTGATCCACTGCCTCTAAACCCAAAGGCTCCTGCGAAATGGCACACAAACGCAAGGTACTGATCTCGCCAACTAGAGACTCCACATCTCGCTCAACTGCGGAATCATACCTCCGTCTACTCAACGCGTCCGCCACTAGGTTAGCCTTGCCCGGATGGTAGTTAATGCTCACCTGATAGTCCGCCAAGAACTCAACCCAGCGCGTCTGTCTCGCGTTCATCATCGGCTGAGTGAAGATATGCTGCAAACTCTTGTGATCCGTGAAGACCTGTACTGTCTCACCTAGCAAGTAAGACCTCCAAATCTTCAACGCGAAGATCACTGCTCCCAACTCTAAGTCATGTGTAGGACGGTTACGCTCACTGCCCTGCCACTGTCTCGAAGCATATGCTATCACTCTGCCCTCCTGCATCAGCACACAACCAAGACCAATGCCTGAAGCATCTGTATACACCATGTAAGGCTTCCCTGGCTCGGGTAACGCCAACACTGGTGTAGTAGTCAACATCTCCTTGAGCTGACTAAAGCTCTCCTCACACTCAGCTGACCAAATAAAAGGGACATCCTTCCCGGTCAACTTCGTCATCGGCTGCGCCATGGTAGCAAACCCCTTGACGAACCTCCTGTAGTATCCTGCCAAACCCAGAAAACTCCTGATCTCGGTGGCACTACTAGGTCTAGGCCAATCTCTGATAGCCTCAATCTTAGCCGGATCCACAGAAACTCCCTCTGCAGAAACAATGTGGCCAAGAAATCCCATCTCTCGCTGCCAGAAACTGCACTTGCTCAACTTAGCAAAAAGCTTCTGCTCCCGAAGCTTCTCCAGAACCAACCTCAAGTGAGTCGCATGCTCCTCCTGACTCCTCGAGTATACCAGAATATCATCAATGAAAATGATGACGAACACGTCCAAATACTCCCTGAACACGTCGTTCATCAATCTCATGAAGGCTGCCGGCGCGTTAGTCAAACCGAAAGGCATAACCACAAACTCAAAATGCCCATAACGCGTCCTGAAAGCAGTCTTCCTGACATCTGCCTCATCTATCGGGATCTGATGATACCCCGATGCCAAGTCAATCTTGGAGAACCAAGTAGCACCCCTCAACTGATCCAACAACTCATCAATCCTCGGGAGTGGGTACCTGTTCTTCACAGTGACTCGGTTAAGACCTCTGTAATCGATACAAAGTCTGAAACTCCCATCCTTCTTCTTCACAAACAACACCGGTGCTCCCCACGGTGAAACACTCGGTCGAATGAACCCCTTAGACAAAAGGTCCTCTATCTGCTTCTTCAGCTCTGCCAACTCAGCTGGCGCCATCCTGTAAGGCGTCTTCGATATCGGTGCTGTCCCCGGCTCTAACTCAATCGTGAAAGGATCAGACCGAGATGGTGGTAATCCCTTCAGTGACTGAAAGACATCCTCAAAATCCTGGACAACCTCAATATCTCCCATAACAACTCCAGCTCCTGACTCAGACATAGAAATCGTCGCCAGATACGCCTCACAGCCCCGCTCTAACAACTGCTCGGCCTGAATAGCAGATATCACAATACTCCCGGAAGTCGGTCTCACTCCCTGATAAACCAACCTCCCTGCATCTCGCTCGAAGACCACTCTACCTCTGTAGCAATCCAGATGAACTCTGTAGTGTGACAACCAGTCCATCCCGAGAATAACGTCATACAGCTCCACCGGACTGATGACTAAGTCTGCTGGCATTGACTGCCCCGCAATCTCGATCTCGACTCCTCTAGCACGGCCCAAAGTAGACAAGAATCCACCTCCCGCCACCTTGACCATGCCCGCGCTCTCGCCCGCGCTACTCCGGATGCCACTCTTCTCGGCACGCTCCGGTGTAATGAAGCAATTCGATGCTCCAGAGTCGAATAAAACGTGGGACTCAAAACCGCCCACTAACAAGGTTACGAAACACATGCGTTGAGAACCTCCACAATTTATCACAGATAAATGAACAACACACAGCAACAACAACCATTATGCCCTCGATGGCCCACCACCACAAATGTGCATCTCCACTCAGATAGTGGACTGCCAACTCAACCTGGTACTAAACCAGAAATCTGATAGACTGGAAATTCCGCTCCAATCTCTGACGCCACTCATCTGCCGCCTCTGGGCTAACTCCGCCCTCAAAGTACGGCGTACCAATCCTCTGCATGTGCCCCACATATCCAAATAGGACGGCACCATCAAACCCACAGCCTGCGGCTGAACAAATCCCGCAGCCCTCTGCTGCACCTCTGCCACTGGAGGTACTCCCGGAGCCCCTTGTGGAACCACTGGCGGAAAACGAGCCAATAACTGCGTCAGCAAACCCACCACTAAGTCATCAAGACCCTGAGCCGGAGCACCACCCCAACCCGGAGCAGCCCCGCTCCCAAACCAACACTCGCATCCACACTGGCCTCACTCGCCACGGATACCGACTGGGTCACCGACGCAGTCGCCACACTCGGCACCACACTCTCTCCCGAATCCGCCGAAGTCCACAATCTCGGCCCCGCCTCCACGGCCTCTAGCTCTGCCACCACGGCCTCAAGCACCGCGCCCTCTCGCGCCACAACCTCTAGCTACTCAGTCCATCTCACTCATGGAACCGAAAAGAGCACACTAGAACACGCAACCAAAACTCAAAACAAACATAAACTCACCGCGGAATCTCTTGTAGCTGAAGGGGATGATACTAAAGCCTACAATTCTAACAGTCCTAAAACCGTCTAGGCTCTGATACCAAAATGAAACAACCAACACTTTTTTTTTTATAAATAAATACTAATCAATTCTAGCGAAGGTCTTTAAAATAAATTAAATAAATAAATTCAATAACAAATAAATCAGTTCAGCGGAAGCAAATAATAATTAAACAAGTCTAGCAAAACAATGCAAAATAAATAAAACAATAAACATCCTATCATCCCCTCTTCAGCCTTGATTCCGCGATCACACAAATCTTTTACCTGCAACACATTGGAATGGAGTTGCGTAAGTATTTAATAAATACTTAGTGAGGCAATCACTCTGCCTACGAGCCATTTACGCAATTTACTAGATATTTAATAATATTTATAAACTCAATAATTATTAAATACCATTTTCCAATTATTAAATAATTATTAATAATTAAAACTCATTTCTCAATTATTAAATAATTCTCATAATTAAATAATAATTTTCCATATTTTAAAATAATTAAAATAATTATTTTAAATCAATTAATTAATTAAATTAACCAATTAATTAATTAAATCCGAAAATAAATCAAACCAATTTGAATTAAAACCATTTTAATTCAATTACATAATTAACCAAATCAAATCAATTACACTCACCTTGACAATAGATTGAAACTGAAGGAAAAAGAAAAGACGATGAACAGTGCCGAATCGCGGATGAACAGTATCGATGAACAGTATCCGATGAACAGTCCCCGATTAACAATATCCGATGAACAGTAAAATCGGATTTTTCCAGGAACTCTCAAAATCGCCTTTCTCCTTCTCTGCCTCGAAAAACGTGATATACAGACGGCTGCTTCTCCTTTAAAACTAAAATGTGGAACTAGTCCTTAAGAACATGCGCTTGGCCAGATTCTTCTCTCATCTTATGGAGTCATACAGGGAGCTCACTTGTGAGTTCCTAGCGTCTATGAGAGGTAACAACATTGACTTCAGCCCTCCACTTCACACGTTAGTTGGGCATGAAGAGGAGTTGCAAGAAGAGGAGCCTGAACTCGATCGAGTTGAGGATCGAGTTGAGGACCACGCTCAAGTGAATGCGGAATTGGGTGAGCCTGAGTGTTACTATCTCGAGGAGTATGAGGCTCCAAGGATGAACCCCTCTGCTGTGGCTGCTCACAAAAGGATTGGACTTCTCCAAAGGTTCAACAATTGGCAAGGGAAGGCCATGGACAAAATGCAAAAGTCCATGGACAAGATGGTGAGCAAGATCAAGAGTTTGGAGAAGAAGGTCTCTAGTTCTTCAAGCAAGAAGAAGAAGACACCCAAGGCTCCTACATTCCCTAGGAGTAGATTTCTCCTCACCACTCCAAGGAGGCTTCCTGTCCAAGAGTCCCACAGAGCCTCATCTTTTGAAACAAGGGAAGGAGGAGACAACACGCAGAGAAGGAGGAAGAGTTCCAAGGGACGATGCTCCAACTCGATCAGCGGACTCGATCGAGTTGGCGATCGAGTTGACCTGGGAGAGCCTTCATTCGAGAACCCTGGATTCGAGCACAATCCAGCACCTTACCAGGACTATCCTCAGAGCCACTGGACCCCTTACAACCGCTTCGAGCAAACCAGGCTCCACCAGGGCCAAGGAAGCCACACCCACTTCGAGGATGAAGAGGTGGTAGAAGAGGAAGAGCAAGCTCGACCGAGCTGCACAAATGAAGTCGAGTGGAGTGCTCCTGATGGACGCCTGCCCTCTCCAGACCACGACCTTGCCTCCCAGTTCTTTGGGGGGCACTTGTTGGACCTGGATTTCCCTCCAGAAATCCGGCCCATAAGGCCCATCACCTAAGTCCTAAGTCAAGATAAGTCCACTCAGGCCCAGTAAAATGACCTCGAGCCCACCAAGTATCCTTGTCCAAATCCAGCTGTTTACTGTCCGAGCTACTTGTGAAGACGAAGTCGAGCTCTAGCTCGACGGAGTCAAGTCCGCAAGCTGAGTTTGAACGAGTCAAACGAGAATCTCGCTTCGACGTGTTCAGATCCGGAAATAGCGGGATCGGTAGTTGCACGTGGACGAGATACGCGGAGGAGGTTGCGATCTACTTCGGTGCTATAAAAAGGAGGACGATTCTTGATCACAAGGCAGAGAATGTTCTTTTGGCAAGTCTTTAGGAGACAAGATTCCTTTGATCAAAAATCACTACACAAGTTCTTCTCATCATCTTTTCACAGCAGAAACAGAGTGAAGTTCTTCTTCTTCGTCTTGAGATATTCTCATATCTTTTCTCTTCGATCTTATCCTTGATCTTCGAGATAACCTTAGAAAGCCCTGATCTTTCTAGCCGGAAATCACTTCCGGCAGAAGTTTGACGTAATCTCTTACCTTCGGATCACTCCGATAACCTGAGATTTATCGTCATCTTCACACCCCTTTACTCTTTTCGTGGTCATTTCTCTTCAGAAAACGACTCGAAATAGAGAACAACTTACAATCGAACTACGTTCTGGCTTGATCCCTAAAACAGGGTACGTAGGCAGCTCGTTAACGAGCGCAGCCACCACCTAATTTCCATCTCTTTTGCTTAGTCGAATCCTAGTGTTTTACATGGTCTTTCAGGCCGGTTTTGTAACCACTTTATTCGATTAGCCTAAGTCCGATTTCGTCAAATATTTGTCTACGAATCATTCGACTTACATCAGAATCTAACCTCTGATTCCACAGGCAATTTCTCCCTACAAAATACACATAAATTTTGAGTGTGGTTTTCCGAACCCACAGCACTGAGGTATCAAACATCAACCCTTGTAAATACCATTTCATATTTTCTTGCATTTGTTTTTATTTTTCTTGGTTTTGCCCTCTTGAATCTTTCACTAAATTTCTCTCACACAAGGGACTGTGTGATTTAAGTTTGGGGGAGGTTCAAGATGATTTAACCTTGTTTTCTTTGTTCTTAGATTTGCATAGAAAAACCAAAAAAATCATAAAATTTTCAAAAAATCCAAAAATATTTCATCTTTTTGCATTCATATTTCTTAGAATTGTTTAGGATTGCATCTTTCATTTGCATTCTTGATTTGATTTTGAAAACTTGTTCATCATTTGCGATTTCTTAAGTGCCCTTTTCTAGATTCTTTTGTGCATTAGGGTGAGATTGATTGAGCAAGCAAAACCATGTTTATCTTGATCATATCACTGCATGCACATCTCATTCAACCATTGCTGTAATTTGATGCATTTCCCTATCTATATGAACCATAACTTGATCTTTAATTACCAATGCTTGCATTTGATTTCAACTCATGGCTACCACATACATATCTGGACATTCTTTACCTATTTTCATATCCCTCTTGCTTGTCCAGATAGCTGATCTCCATCTTTGAGACAGTTACCACCTTAAACCTAAGCCTTTTTCATTTCAAACCCCATATTATCTCTTGTGCGATTGTGAGAACCTTTCTTGGCTTTGCTTAGCATAAGGTGTTGGGTTTAAA